CCATCTCTACTTGCCCATCAGTTTGAGAATGAAAAGCTGAACTCATCGTCAGTCTATGATTTCTAAGGACTAAGACAGTACTCATTGGTACACCATGGATGTCTAACTTAGCTAACTTTTTCAAAGAATAGTTAGCTCTAACTGGTAGAAAATGTGCTTTTTGAGTCACCCTATCTGCAATAACCCAAATGGTGTCAAACTGTGCTCTTGTCTTAGGCATATCCATGGCAATATTCTCCCATTTCCATTCTGCAGTAGCCCTGCCAGCCTTGGTGTTTTACTTTCACTTGCTGACTAAAGTCAATTGAGGGACTAAGTCACATAAACTGCTATATCCCTCTCCATTGCATTCCATTCCACCAAAGTTTTTCCCTCATATTCTAATACATCCTTTTACTGCCTGGATCGATAGTACATATAGACTTCTGAGCTCTAGCAATTCCTTTCTCAGTTCTTCATCTCTAGGCAGAGACTCATATAATCTTATGATTTAATTGCATACTTAATCCAACCTACAATGACGCTAGTTTACTTACTGCATAAGTGCATATCGTATTCACTTTATATTTATTTTACTTCTCTTACAGATTCCAATCCAAGAAACACATGTGGGAACTTTGTGGGTTTGGGACTTCAGATCAGACCAGCTACTAGCTTCGGGATTGAAGAAAGGACTTGCTGAAATAATTTAGTTTGGTCTTTAAAACTTAATTAAGGATTGAGTTAATAAATTTCCTTTTCCTTCACGGCTGCTACTTTTTTGTTACTTGAGGAGATCATGCTGATAAACTCTTCATTCCATGTACGCTCTTTTGAGGAAAAAATTTTATTATATGTGTCTTCTCTAATTTATATGTGAATTTTTCTTCCAACAAAATACTCAACAGCTTGATCAACTAAGAGCATTCCAATATCATTTCACTTGAGTAGACCCAATTTCTGTATAAAATAAAGAGTTGGATACAATATTACAACTTTTTAAATTTTTTGCGATGGAAAATTACTATCACAATGAAGAATATTATTTATCAAAATTTTGTAGACCTTAAAATTTAGATCAATATAATAATGAATTTCAAATGACAATAACATACTTAAAATAAAACAAATGCAGACCTGCTTATGTGTTTGATGAAGTCATGATAAGTCATGATAATTGTCGAAAGTCGTCCTATTTAGAATATGTTAAATCCTTCTTTGTTTAATCACGTGAAGGAAGTTGAATTTAATTCTATTAAAACCTTAAATATGTTTAATTTAAAAAAAAATGTTATGATAAGATGATATTTTTAATTAATTAAATTATAATGTTAAAAAATAATATCAATCATAAAATATACCACTCCCCTTCAGCCCTAACTCTCCATTTTCCTAAAATTAAACATACAAAAATTCATAATTTATAGGCTAATAAGGCTGCTAAAAAAAAAATAAACCAAGAATTGTATTTGAGAGCCCATCTAAAGCCCATATCCATAGCATAGTTGTGTTGGTCTGTTGGACTTGGACGCCAGAGAAGAGTAGCATTAGAAGGACAAGATGAAAGATGGAATGGAAAGAAAGAAAAAGGCTTGATGGGGTGTGGGAAAATGGCGGGAACCTGTTGTCCAAATCCTGCTGTAAATCGTAACTGGATGACCCGTCAGTCGCCGTTCATCCCACAGAGAGCCCACGTAGCACGATGCTTCTCGGCTACACCAGGAGATGGGAACGGATCCAAAACGCCGCTACTTCTCAAGTGGGCAGTAAGCGGCATCACTGAGCTGCTCAGTCTATTCTCTCTTGGCAAGAGAGGTACCCATCTATCTCTCTTCTGTTTGGATGGTGAGAAAAGAAAATGCAGAAGGAAAAAAAGGTCTAATTTTTTTGGCTTAATTGTACAAGATATGAGTATCCGGTGACGTCCTCCCAAGAGATTTTTTCTTTTTTTAAATCTATTATTGACTTTAATTTTTTGGAGATTTAATGAAGGGAGCACTGGGGAGAAAGATGAGAATTTTTTTTTTTTTATTCCGGGATTAAAAGTTTGATTATGAAAATGCTTACTTTGTTATAGGTGCCCTTTTTTCCCTCTTAGGATTTCTTCAATCTGTTATTTTATAAATATTTAGATCCCAGCATTTTTTTTCTTGCTCTAGCTTTTCAGTTGAATTTGATGATATCTGAATTTGATATTTGATCAAAAAAGCTGCACAACTCAAACCATTGGATGGGGCCGTCCCCCTGATATTGGGGGTTATCCCATCCAATGGTTCCTCTATTGCAGTCTGAACTGCAAAATATAGAACTCATATTTGATAGCTTTCCAATCTGATAGAGTGTATATTTTGTGCTTTTTTAAATCTGCAGTTCAGGATTTTAAACTTAACTTATTTTTCACCATGATGTCTTATAAGCGTTGTCATCACATTTCTTGCTTATCAAATATCAAGCACCTTAGAAATGGTGCATATCAATGACCTCCAACTTATAGAAACAAAGCTTTTGTTTTGTTTTGCGAATTATTTGTTATTTATTTTTAATATAATAGAAACTTTATTAAACTTGCATATTTTATTGGATTCCATTTTTGTTTTTTTTTTTTACTTTTTTACTCATTGTAATAGGCGTTTTCACTTCTGCCATTTATGCTGACAATTGTATCTTTGAAGATCCAACTATTAGATTCCAAATTTGTGTTAACGGTAAGCAATTTCTTTCTGGTATCAGCCATTTGTTTTTATCAAACTGCATTTGCAAGAGAATGAATTAACTTTTTTTCTCTATCTTCTTACCTTAACATTAATGCTAATTAAGGTAGATCAGTTTTTTACTGTCATATTCATTGAAGATGATTCTCCTAGTACAATTTATTTCACAGAAGTATAACTAAATATTTCCATTTTTTGTCACTTAACTGTTTTTGGTATATGTTCATTGATGCTTTTGGATTTGATAGAGAATAGATCATGTCCTTAATTGATCCTTACTCTGTCTTTTAGAACTTCTTTGTACAGTTTGTAGCATGCCCTAATACTTCACATTTGCATGCCTCTCACACACTCATATGTTGTGCATGCCTGTTTCAATGGCTGCAACTCGTTAATTTTCTCCATCATTGAATTAATGTCAGGAAATTGGCTAACATTTATGGTTTTTCTATTCAGGTTAACTTGAAGTTGCTTCTTCCTTTCTTTGATTCTCCTTCAATTGCATAACAAACAATTGAAATAGTAGTCTTTCTTTATAAATTGATATCTAAGTTATATAAAATAACATACATGGACTAGTATGCATATTATAAAGAACTGGGCTCTCTTTAAAGTAGACATTACGTTGACAATTGCAAATTATGGTATTTGATTCTTCATATTCGGTTCCTTGGAAACAAGTTGCCTTTATATGAGTGGAGATTATTTAGTTAAACTAGAATTTTATTGTCACTTGATTGAATCGATGGAGGAAAAGATAGCGGAGTCAAACTGTTACAAGATCTAGAGTTAATGGGAAAGAGGGATTTGCCTTTATTTTTTGAACAAACATTGATCACTTTGTTCATGTGTTGTATAACCTTAAAGTAATATGGCCCATGAAAAAAAAAAAAAAACCCCTTTTAAGTGATGACTCTAGAAGCATTTTTTTTCTTCTGATTCAGTGTTTTTCTAGGTTAGATTGACTCACCTGTTTATGAAGGTCTGACCTGATGACATTCGGCCAACCCTAGCAGGTTGGCCTCTTATATGTGCAGTTAGTTTTATCTGATTTGTAGAACGTACCTGAAACTTCCATGGCCTCTCATAATGCAGGTTAGTTTTATTTAATCCCTGTTTTCGCATTGTTTAACTGTTTTGTTTGATATATTGGTCTTTAGTTTCCCTTTTTTGAATAACAAATTTTATATGGATTACTGGCATTATTGGAAAGACTAATTGGAGGGTTGAATTTGATTATCAGTCCAGTCTATCATTGGGTTATTCCGAGGAAAAAACAGAAAGAGAGTCAAGGTTGTTGGGCTTTCTTTTGTCCATTGGGCTGGGCCTTACTTGGGCTGACTATTGTGTTTGCCTGTTCTGTTACTTAAAGACTTTTGAGACCAAATCTGGAGACACATCGTGAAACGATCTGAAAGATGATAAAGAGATATTTTCAAGGCGGATAGGTATTTTATATATAGATATATATATATATATATAATTTAATAAGTATATATAAAATTTTAATTATATAAGTAACAAGTTAGTTAAATAAGTTAAGTAAACAGTTATGAACTCTCTATTTGTTACTTAACTTAGGACTTATTTGGTGCAACTTCCCATCAATTTCAACTTCTTGACACTATTCATGTTCTATAAGTTTAAATTTTTTTCTTAAAACTAATATTTTTAAATTTTTTTTACCCTTAAAAAGACCATGAAAAGTAAAAGATCAAAAGCTTCAGATCCAAAATTTTCATAAACTTTCTTTTTACTCATTTTTTCTCAAAAGTAAAAGCAACTCTTAAATTTTCTTTTCAATAAAAATTTGAATTTATCACTCATAAACAGTATTCTAAAAATAAAAACTCCAACAAACTGCACCAAACATGCGCTTAATATTTGTTTGTTATTTGACTTAATACTTATGGATATGTTATTTTTATGTTCATTACTTATTTATTTTTTCTACACTTCTAATATGGTATTTACCAAAAAGAGTAAAGTGCTTGTAAGTAATGGGTGTACTCATACCCAGTGCTCACTCCTATCTCTATCTCCTAAAATAGGAAGAACAGCCAAGGTTTTATTTCTTAGTGCTGCTCGTGATTGTAGTTATAGGGTTTTTTATATTTTATCATTCTAAAACCATTTTAAAAAATAAATTAGAATTAGTAAAATTTATAAAAAAAATTAATTAAGAATTATAAATTTATATTTTAAAATAAGGTATTGTATGAAAAATGAATGTTTAGCCTAAATTTATTATTTGGTCTTCATTGTTGGTTAATTATTACTTTAGTCCATAATATTTCTTTCAAATTTGTCAGTAAAATGTAAATTTTATTACCAAAACCTTCACCGTACACAAAGCAACATACTACAGGTTGCTACTGATATCTATACACAAAATGAATTAGCCATATACAAAAATGGTATGTCACTCCCTGCACATAACTTCTAATCCCCATTCTGAGGCAATACTACTAGGCATAGGGGAGATTTTTGCTTTGGCAAAACCAAGTACCTTGTCATGGATATTTACTCGTATTTGACTCACAATTACAATTACAAGTTCACTTTTAAATGTATGTCTGTGAATTCTAGTATTTTCTTCCAAATTGATTTAGAAAGGGTAAATACCTTTTTTGTTTCTATACTTAAAAATAAAAAAATAATAAAAATAAAAACAAAAAACTTTTTTTTTCCTAAAATTTAAAATTTGATCCCTTTTGGTCCTCAAATTTTTGTTGATCTATCAGAATTAACAAAATCACTGATGTTATAAATGATGTGGACATCCATGCTGTTAAGATAAGATTATGCAAATAAAATTATAAATTTACATGAGCATATAAATATGTTGAGTTATTTGTATAAATTAAAATTTTTATTTTTTAATTCACCAATTAAATAAATTTAAATAAAATTAACTTTAATTTTTTCGTCTTCGTCCTGGTCCTCATCTTTATCCTCGACATCATCAGCGTCATCGTTTATCTTTGCCATCCTCTTCATCCTCTTCATCATCCTCATCTCCACCGCTTACCAGACTTGCTGGTCATCTGTGAGCATGGACATGGGCAGATTGTAGTTTGCAAGAGATGAAACCTGATCTGGGCTCCTCGTGGAACCCAGCACCTAGGTTTCCATTATTAGGGTTTCCATTATTCACAAAGCTCAAAACAAAGGCGAGATCCAGCTTTTCCCGTCTATTCTCTTCAATTAACAAGATTTAACCTCCACCTTCGCTTGATTCGATTTCGCTTCCTACTCGGCAACTCGTCTCCTTTATTCTACAACGCAGCAACCTCAGACGAACCGCCAATTCGCTGTCACTGGAGAAAATATAGAAACAACAGAGAAGGAGAATCTTGAAATCAAGAACAAAGTAGATGAAGAGAACAGAGATGAAGATGACGATCATGTGAATAAAGAGACTGACGAGATCGGTGGCCTTAGAGGTCTCGAGCTTACTCGCTATGACGATTGGGAACGCAATGGTTGCTGCTATGACTTCTAAAATATTTTTCCCCAATTTATCATCTGTTCATCAATAATGGGCACTCTCATTGATTTGTTTTCCTATGAATTTTGAATTATTGATGTTTACAGTTGCAATAGGATACCCAAATTATCGTGATCTGTTGGCTTTGAAGAGGAAGATTTGCAGATGGTTCAAAGAAGAATTTCCAATTCAATTCATTTTAAAAAGAGAAATGATAGTACACTCAAAAAATCAACACTAATCTCAACCCTCAAAATTAAAATAAAGAAGGGTAAATTTATAATTTTACTGTTTATAAACTTTGAGTATTAATGTGAGTGTTGATTTTTTGAGTATATGTATCATTGTTTTTTAAAAAATTACTTAATATTGCCAAGTTACTAAAAAAATTATTTAATAATGTCACATATTTTTTTTTTTGTTTTTACACCTCATTTTTATTTAATATTTAAAAATTAAAAAACATAATTAGTTAACAAAAATTGTGCTATGTCGTCGTTTAACTGATGAAGGATTCAGAAAACATTAGATTTTAAGCTTTAAGAATTAAAAAGAAGATTTTTTAAGTATAAAGATTAAAAAAATATTTATTTCAAAGTAAAAGATCAAAAAAGTATTTAACCATTTAGAAATCTCATCAAAATGATCTCTCATCAAAGTTCCTTAAGTTTTTTTTAATAAAATTGATCATCAGAACCTACGTGACACCATTTAGTCTAAAAAAAATTACATACAATGATTAAAAGCAATGATTAGAAGATTAAAATATGACTATCAGTTATTCAAAATGAGAAAAAGGGTTAAAAAAGGAAATATGACCTTATTTGAAGGTTAAAATGTTCAGTCGTGCAATGTTGTTGATGGGAAATTTATTTAAGAAGATTAATAAAATTTTGACCAATAAATTATTTTAATACATTTCTTCAAATTTTTAGAGTAGTTTAGAAAATACAGCAAAATAAACTTTCTCAACTAAAATAATAACATAGCAATGGTTAATATACTAAATATTATATTTAGCGGAGGAATAAACATTTAAGAAACAAGAATGATATTATCTACTTACCAATTGTAGTAGATTAGTTTTAAAAAAAATAGTATTGCTAAAAGAGCATATTTGAAATCAAATTTCAAATTTCTTCGCTACTGACCAGTGGTGCAGGGTTATGCTAAATCTTTGTATGACTACTGTAACTTGTGAGGAACATCAATAATAAAATCTTGTACATTTCTTTTTTTTTTTTTTTAACTCAGCTTCGATGATAGAGTCTCAGTAATAAAGTTTGGTACTTGTCTTTTTCTTTTTCAGCTGCAATAATGGAGTCCCTGAAAAGGAGTTTTTATAACTTTATTGGAATCTTTGAACTGTCTATGTTTCTCAGCTTCCTTATCCCTTCACCCAATAAGACAGGAACTAGTTATTGGCCAAGTCTAGCTCAGTTCATTCATTTTTACATTGTGCAAGATCCTATTCCATTACAGCAGAGTACAAATTAACATCCAAATCTGTACCAAACTAAGGAATGATTCACACAGCTTTTTCTAACTTGATATCTATGTGGTGGTTGATTAGATAAGATCTTTATTGGGGTGGGAACCGTGTGGTCCAAGTCTCTCGGAGTCGTCTACTTCATCTGTCAACTTCCGGGCGTACGCCAAGAAGGTGGCAGACAGGAGACAGCCAATCACTGTTAACTTTACGTACTTTTCTATATTTTTCTTCAGCCCGTTTTCCACGACATCTGTTTTCTTATCGTTATATAAGTAAATTTTTTGTCATCCCAATTTTTGACTCGAAGTAAATGTGGGACCTCAACCGGTACTTTGATAGTTTAGATGCGTGCACTGTCCAATTGACGCCCGCTTCCACACTCGTTCATCTA